ACAGTCATGGACTGAGTGACCAATTTATTTATTTTTTTGAAGGAATTATTATCCCTCGAAAAAGCAATTCACCAATTGACTGAGTTCCTGCTTACTGATAGGTAAACAGGTGTGTAGACTAAGGAAACTTGCCCAATATTTCGTCCTGCTGGGAATCGAACGCTTGCGAGGCGAGTGCTCTAATCACTGAACTACAGGACTCCAGAAATCTACTCAACAAGTTCTACTGCTACCCCTACATAAATCAATAATTATAAAATAATGAAAAAAACAGAAAAATGCAACAATTCTTTTGGGATCAGCTCTGTGTATGTAAAGAGGGTACTTCAACTCAAAACTGTTTTTTTTCTTAAACTCTCTCTCCATAATACATCATGATAAATTGGTCATTTCAATCCACGACTGTTTGTGGGACACTGCTGTGCGCAATTAGCTGCCGCATTTCACCCACAAATATACAGTCAATTCACTTTACAGTCTATTCTGTGATGCGCTTTGAGACGTCTAGAAGATGTGAAAAGCGCAATATCAAATGCAAGGGTTATTATTATATTCCCCAACTGAAAAAGCAGGTGGATGGGTATTCATATTCAACCAGTGTCAGTGGCAATTTTGAACCAGCCACTAATGGTGCTCAGTTTGATTCATAATGTATTATTGTTTACTCTTTTCATCCAGGAGAGCTTGGACAGTCTAAAACACAAACTTCAGAAACATGACTCTTTTCTCCTAAATACAACAGCATTATTAGAAAATCAATTCTCTGTCTTCGCCCAATTTAACTTCACTAGGTGAAAACTACGCAGATAGACAATGTAAGGTCTTCAAATGCACACTGCTCCATCTACAAAATTGAAAAATGTAAAAAAAAGCTCTTTTGCATGAGTTAAATTGATTCAAATTGCACGAGTCAAATAAATAATTGCATTTGATGCTAAAATTCCATCCTTAGTTTAAAATACTGTCATAAAAAGCTTATTTTAAAGAAACTTTGCCAGTGCTATGATATAATAATCCTTGCATTTGATATAGCGCTTTTCACGTCTTCCAGACGTCTCAAAGCGCTTCACAGAATATACTGTAAAGTGAATTGACTGTATACTTGTGAGCAAAACGCAACAGCCAACTGCGCACACCAGTGTCCCACAAACGGTCGTGGATTGAGTGACCAAATCACTATTGTTCTTTTTGTTTTGAAGGATTATTATCTCCGGAAAAGCCCATCAACTAACAACCAGGTTCCTACTTACTGCTAGGTAAGCAGAGGGGTGTAGAGTAAGGAAACTTGCCCAATGTTTTACCTTGCCGGGAATCGAACCCGGGTCTGTCGCTTGCGAGGCGAGTGCTCTAACCACTGGGCTACAGGACTCCCACGATATAGGTTTACGTCTCAGTCTTTAGAAGTTCTCAATCTTGACCAAACTGGACAAGAAGGAGGTAAAGATAGTCGTGCAGAAATTATAGGGTAGAGAAAATTCTACAGTTAAGTACATCCTTGGGCAGTTAGTGTAAGAGTCGTGTTGATGGGAGTCCTGAATATGGTCATCTGCTCACAGCACTCTAATTGAAGAAATGGTGCAGGGAAACTTCAAAGTATGGAGTAGCGAGAAAGTAAAAACAGCTGCAGTACGGTTTTTACATAGGTGAAGGTTAGACTGAAGAAATTCTTTCACTTTTTAATGATTATTAACATTGGAAATTAAATATACTGTGAAATTGTAAATCAGGAAACTCACACTCAAATTTATTTTCCAAAATTTTATTGAACTAAAGTAAATGGAAATAATTTGATAAAACATATAAGGTGATAAAAAACAAGTAGGAGGGAGATTTTAATGTAATTATGTTGATTTTATAATAACTGCTGCAATTGATACAACTCCTCTTCATGTCAAAAGATCTCAAAATGCTTCAGATATTTCCTGTTACATGAAGTGACCGCATTTCTGGGTAAGCCCAAGAACCAATTTGCACCCAGTGTTGATCCACAAACAGTCAGGGAATGGGATTTTAGCCAAGACACAGAGAAACTCTCTTCTCTTTTCCAATAGCGCCAAAGGACCTTTTACACCCATCTGTACATGCAGACTGGACCCCAAACTTTCTGACTCAGACAAATGTGCAACCAACTGAGCCAGGGTGATACCACCACTGAGACAGGATGACATCTATACATAGGGTTACATATACAAACTGACATTCACGCATAAATTTGATGAAACATTTCATCTAAGTTGCACAGAAGCTCTATTTCCTATTTTTGTCAAGCCAATCTATTGAAAGTCAAAATATACGTTATATATATTTCTAACATTTTATCTGGTGCCATGGAAATGAAGCTTATAACTTTTTTCTGAAAAACTATAAGAAACAAAGTAAAATGTCACCTTAACGTCACCACATGCCAACTATTTAAATTTGACTGTCCACATTGAGCTCCAGTGCAGAGGTAAGATTGGGTTATCAGGTTTTCCTCAAGTTGTATGGATACAAGTAGTTTTGTACGAGGTGGAGAGATCAGATCCAGGTAAGTGCATGATAATTAGGAGCAGTAGGCAAACACAAAGACACAAAAACAAAGACCCGTTGTTCTCATATGTGCAGTGGTGCTTGCCTGATTTCATGACGATTTGGGGGGGCTTTATATCCATGGTTCACAAAATAAAACATTAATTTTAAAAATAATCTAAAAGGTGTCTAACTAAAGTTTTGCTTTTTTCACATTTTCCAAATTTATATGAACCTTAACTTTTTTGTGAATAAAGTGTTACAATTCCTAAAGGTATTAAAAGATATTTGAATGAACTTAAAAGAAACACACTGATCAGCCTTGACTATGACTATCTATCATAGCCATTTTTAATTTTAACCTTTGCCCACCACAATAACCTTACAAAAAATTAAATACTACATTACTAATTTACTAACCTAAATAAATAATGCTAAAGGTGGTCTATAAATAACTGCTTGATTGTTCTGTGTACATTATATACAGTAATGTACATTAAATTATATACATTACAGTAAGTGCTGTGGGACACTACCCTGCATGAAGGGAGCTATATAAATGCAAGTTGTTGTAGAACTAAAAAACACTCAATGATCACATTTTCCCCAAATGCTACTGTGCTTATAGGGGGAATTTTGTCTTTTAAAAAATCAAGTACAATCTGCAATATTTTCCAAACTTTCACCATCAGACACACAATTTCCCAGTTGTAAACAGATCTAAGAATTTTGATTCCCAATCCTATGTACATATTAACCCCCCAAAAAACAGCTGGGCATCACTTTAGTTTGGTAAAGATCTATAGAATTTAGTTATAGCCCATTAGTACTGCAAAAAATACTATTATCACTGCCCCTCCCTTCAGGTAACCAATGATGTGTGGATCATTACATTAGGGGTACCCTTTCATCCTGTTACAATACACCATCTGAAAAGATCACCACAGGGTAGGCAAGCAAAAAAGGACAAATAAGAAACCATAACACAACACATTTTTTTTCACATGTCAAATTACAACAGATTACCAGACTCCGAAGCAATCTCAGGTCAAATTCACACATTACCAGACCTGTTTTCATTGACAGCTAAATGCCACAATTATACTTTGAAACACACATTACCTGTAAAAACATAAGAGATAAGAGAAAATCACTTTCAGTTACAGTCACCCACTGTGTAGTGAGATTGGTTATATACATAGCCTACAGTAGTATACTTTATGCTTGAGAGACTTTATAAATTAAAAGGATGCAAAAAGTCGAAGTTATGTGCTTACAATAAACTTAAACTGTATGAGGGTAACAAAAAAGTTTTGTGGTAACTATGTTACACAATCAGCACTTTTCTAAGTACATTTTTTTCATGTTTGTAAATATTTAGTTTTGTTTGCAAAACTAATATGGCACCTGCAGAAACAAAGTTTGATAAACAAATACTATCTTCCATCATTTCCTTAAATGAATATTGCACAACACAACCAATACGATCATGTAACAATACTAAACATCTAGATTCGTAATAATCCTTGCATTTGATATAGCGCTTTTCACGTCTTCTAGACATGTCAAAGCACTTCACAGAATATATTGTAAAGTGAATTGACTATATATCTGTGGGTTACATGTAGCAGGCCAAACAAGGCAAAAAACACCTATAATTAAATAATTTCTCAAGTTTTAAAAAGTACACAGATGAAATTCAAAATTTACACAGGCTGCATGCACATCCCATTCCGGTCAACAAGGAACATAAACCACAACTCTTTCCATCCTGCAAGTCACTGGCCGCTATGATTAACATTTTAGCTACAACAATGAAACTCTGCTGATACATTGCAGACATAAAATAGTGACTTAATAGATTTAGTGAGAATGCTTAGCAATTTCTCTTGCCTTCCTTCACGGTGCAAGACTTTAAACGAAGTCTCAACGCATCCAGTTTGGGAAATATGGATCATCATATTAACAAAAGAATAAGCTCTTTGAATCATCGCACAGCACACGAGTGTAAATCATACTCAGCAATGCTAATATTTGCCATTTGCTAGATGTTACATTTACACCCAATGGTATGTAGGGAAGGGGTGGACAGAAAGAAAATATCTGATGTACCACTCTTTCAAATGAAGGTGTTATAGTATTCAAATGCAACACGATCCTATCCACCAGCGATATTCGAAATTGTTAAATGACACAATTACACCCAATCCACGACCACCTCCCTATAAATGCAAATAAAACGGAGAAAAGACAGATTTAATGGCGCACAGCTTATGAATTCGAACATGTAGAATTAAGGCAATTTACGAGACCTTTTGGTGGTGGTTACACACAAAAAAACTAAATAATAAACCGCTTCTCGGCCTCATCCTGTAATCCTCTGGAAAGAGAGCGATGGCCTGGCTCGTAAATCCACGAATGAAACCACAACCGTAAGGAACCAGATTGTAACAGCGGTTATTCCTGTTTAAAACATATTAAAAGACACTTACTTTCCGATCACTTCACACAGCTCATACACATCTTCAAACAGGACGTCATCGTCGGCCATGGTCGACAATTAAAAGAGGAGTGAGGATCAGAGGAGTAAAATAAATACCCTCTCCAGTTGGTGGGGGGTGGGGGGGGGTGGGGGTGGGGGTGGGGGGGAAGAAAAATGAAATCTTCTCCCGTGTGGATCAGTGAGAAGGAGTTCACAAAAATCAGGTTCCCACGACGCCGCCAGTAAAGCGGAATGAGAGAGCAGCCGAGAAGCGGGTCTGGGGGGCTCCGGGCGGGTTTGCTCTCCCCTTCTCCTTCACGACCCCACCTTCTCCTCTCCGTCTTCCAACCCAAGTAATCCACAGTCGGCGCGCGGCTCCGTGTCTCGGGATATGCAGCCGTTCGTTCCCTCGGAGCCCAGGCCGAGCCCCGGGAATTCACGGGGGTGAGGCGAAAGCGGCTTTTGTTCGCCTGTTTGTTTAGATGGTGCGCTCGGCGCCGTTCGTATCGTGTTACTGATTCCTCTCCCCGTCCGCTGGTATGTGGTGAGCCGGTTCCTCCTCTCCCTCCAGCCCCCTCCGCCTCCTCTCGGTGCGCCGCTCAGATTAACCCCCCACTCTGGCGGCGGCGGCGGTGACGAGAGACCGTTGGCAGCGGCGCTTTGAACGGTCCGGCTCCCCCCCACCGGAACCAGCCAATAACCGCCTGCGCGCGCGCGCGCGCTCACCAGCCCCGCCGCCCGCTCGCGCTCTCGCTCGCCCGCCCGCCCGCTCGCTCTCCGGCCGCTCAGACGTCCGCACTCTGCATGCGTCAGCACGAGACCCACAGCACCGGAGGCCGCGCGCATGCGCCACCGCCGGCACAACAGGGCGGCGGCCCCACCCACTCCCACCCTCCCGGCCCAGAGCGCATGCCTCGGAACCCGCCACCCTCTCACTGGCACCGCGCATGCGTCAGAGGGCGGACCCCCCACCCCCACCTCTCCCTGTGGTTACAACGACAGAGAGAAGAATCCCGGAGGCTGCGGTGACGCGCGTGGCTCCCTCCCTGCACCAGCCTTTGATCAGAGGGAGGGAGGGGGGGGCGGTGTGTGTGTGTGGGGGGGGGCGGTGTGTGTGTGTGGGGGGGGCGGTGTGTGTGTGGGGGGGGGCGGTGTGTGTGTGGGGGGGGCGGTGTGTGTGTGGGGGGGGGGGCGGTGTGTGTGTGTGGGGGGGGCGGTGTGTGTGTGTGGGGGGGGTGGTGTGTGTGTGTGGGGGGGCGGTGTGTGTGTGGGGGGGCGGTGTGTGTGTGGGGGGCGGTGTGTGTGTGGGGGGGGGGTGGTGTGTGTGTGTGGGGGGGCGGTGTGTGTGTGTGGGGGGGGGCGGTGTGTGTGTGGAGGGGGGGTGGTGTGTGTGTGTGGAGGGGCGGTGGTGTGTGTGTGTGGGGGGGGGGCGGTGTGTGTGTGTGGGGGGGGGGCGGTGTGTGTGGGGGGGGGGGGTTGCTCGCCGTCCCATCTCAATGCGATTTTTTTTGTCTTTTTTTTTGCAAAAATAAAACCCTTTCAGCTATTCGAGAGGAGTCCCCCTCTCCCCCCCCCCCCCCCACACACACACACACACTACCAAGGCAAATGCATCCGAGCCAAATAATACTAATACTAATCCTACCGCTCCACCCTCAGCTGTATTACTGTTGTGTTCAGTCAAACCAAATCACGATAGAGAAGAATGTTATAGCAGAGGGAGGGGCAGTGGGGCTACAGATAAAGCCACACAGCTTTTGCACTATCTCACAATAATTCAGCCACAAGGTCCAGGAGGCTGGATATCTTCACTCTCTCTCCGGAGAAGGCAGGAGAGCGCCGGCTCGGAATTCTTAGCTGAACTGCCTTTCTGGGAAGCAACACTATACCGTACGCAAGGTTTATTATTATTCAATACCGAATGGAATGAATTAGCCATTCCTACTCCTACTCAGGTACTCCTGTCCTGCAGCTCAGTGGTCAGAGCACTCGCCTCGCAAGCGAGAGACCTGGGCTTGATTCCCGGCAGGGCGAAACCTCGGGCAAGTTTCCTTACTCCACTCGCTTGATAATGGTCCCTCAAGAAAAAAAATAAGAAAATTGGTCACTTCAATCCATGGCTATTTGTGGACACTGCTGTGTGTAATTGGCTGCCATGTTTTGCCCACAAATTTACAGTCAATTCACTTTACAGTATATTCTGTGAAGCGCTTTGAGACGTCTAGAAAACATGAAAAGCGCTATATCAAATGCAAGGATTATTATTATTCATGTAACGCATTCTCCCAAATCCACCTCGTCTACCTGCAGAATTAATAACGACATTGTTAGGGAGAGGGAAAAATACCATCTACAAACACATTAGAAAGATTTACAAGTCCATATTACAACATTCTCTATGTTGTACCTGTAGAATATGCAATTGTAACTGTGTCTCTTGATTTCTAAAAATGTCTAAATACAGTCATAATCCTATACCAAGTGGTTCCAAACTCAGGGAAATCACCCCTAATACTGTATTTGAGGTCGGGAGCTGTCTGTCCCAATTGGCAGTGTAATTGGTAGAGTTGCTATGAAGAGAATGACTGAGAAAGTTATTGAGAGGTTTGATTTCACTTTGCCAAGTGAAGCTGCCAATACATTTAGATTGAAATCTCTGTCACACAAAACAAATCGCCTTAACAAATCGGAGCAAAAGGACGTTCATTTGGAATTTTGTTTCAGCAAGTAAGGAATGACCCGAAGAAATAAAGGATACTTATTTTGGATGTCTAGTTCCATTCAGAAATGAATAAGAATAGTCCTTGCATATGATAAAATAATAATCCTATAAGAAACAGGACTGTTGAGTAAGTAAACTTTCCCTTCATATTATGGTTGGTTTCCATTTTGTATCATTTATTTCATTTTATGCATTAATCTCTAATGTGTGAATATTATCATTGATAATTATCATTGATAATATCATCGAACTCGGGTTCAATTCTCAGGAGCCACTCTCCTCTGACACTGCCACCAGATTGCATAATAATGTGTAATAATCCCTTAAAATAAATTAATAAATTAATAAAAAACACAAATAATTTGGTCACTCAATCCATGACTGTTTGTGGGACACTGCTGTGCGCAATTGGCTGCCGCATTTTGCCCACAAAATATACATTCAATTCACTTTGCAGTATATTATATGAAGCACAACAACATGATAAGGCATTATATCAATTTATTATTATTATTTATTGCAGGATTAATCTGAGGAGTACACTGAAACACATTTCCCCTTCACCTGCCATCAGCAGACCTGTTTTTTCCGTGGTTTTGGGGGTTTTCATTCTTGACTTGCCTGATCTTTTGGATTATTGTTTATATATACACGGAAAGAGAGAACACATTTCAAGGAAATGTGTTCAATGCGGGGTTTACTGCATGCACAACTGAGCTCATAACTTGTCACCAGTTACTTATTTAGTTTTTTAGGAATGTAATATTTCACTTGTCCATGAAAATGTGGAGAAAAATATTATGAGCAGCAAATGCAATAACGAGTAAACAGAGAGCATTTGTCTTGTGGATTTTGGGTGAGGTGAGGATGAAGATTTTTGTGGTTAGTTTTTTTTTGCAAGAATTAAGCAATTATGTTTACATGTGTAAAACATATACTAATCTCTACTTGGAAGGCAACTGAGTGTAGTACTTTTTCAGTGTATGTTTCGGACTCTTGATTTCTATTGTTGGCTTATCTTTGTGATCTTCTTGCTATGGTTTGAAGGCTTTTTGTGAGGTATCTTTTAATGTAAAATTATAGTCCTGTTTGAAAAGTCACCATGCTGAAGCAAAATATTACAATAATGTGTTGCGGTGCGCCAACATTGATTTATTGTAAGTAAAAATTATGACAATATCTGTTCTTTGAATATCTATCCTAACATCAAAATAGAATCTCGTTTCAAATTTAGTTGCTATAAAACTGCAACAGCAATTCAAAATTACCAAGCAATACTTCGACTTTTACATGACCTTGAAAACTTTAAAAATGTTCAGTAGAATTCCTACACGTAAAATTCTCCACTTTAAAACTGTTTATCTGATGAAATATAGTACCATGTTTATTGTAGTTCACTTCATTCCTGTTTACTTGTCTGATGAAGGCAAATAAAATAAGCTTGCATTAAGTCCTGTAGTTTAATGGTTAAAACACTCGCCTCGCAAGCGAGAGGACCTGGGTTTGATTCCCAGGCAGGGTGAAGCGTTGGACAAGTTCCTTACTCCACGCAACTCTGTTTACCTAGCAGTACGTAGGAACCCGGTTGTTAGTTGATTGGCGCGTCGCCTCTATGGGGGTAATAATCCCTTAAAAAATAATAATAATTTGGTCACTCAATCCACCATTGTTTGTGAGACACTGCTGTGTGTAACTGGCTGGCACATTTCTCCAATAAAATATTCAGTGAATTCACTTTACAGTATATTGTGTGAAGGACTTGGAGACATCTCAAATACATGATAAGGCATTATATCAAATGCAAGGATTACTATTATTATTTTTATTATATAATTTTTTTTGTTTCAATTCAAACATTGGGAAGCAAATAATCAAACTTCACACTATTTCCACTCATCGAACTATAAATAGCAGCAGGTTTTGAAAAGGGATTTTAATGTGCTTCCATCCCATTCTTACTTTGTTCTAACTGCAATTGAAATAGTTTTTTTTCACAGGGCGTACCTGGGATATTGTTCTCTTTGTTTGGGTGAAAGTTAACCTCTCAGCAGCATTTTTCAAAAAAAGCTTGCACATGCACACAACAACAACAACAACAAGATTACATTTGTACAGCGCCTTTCATGTTGGGAGGACGTCCCAAGGCACTGGACAGAGTACAGCATTTCAGACCCGAGCTGGGTTATAATAATAATAATCCTTGCATTTGATATAGCGCTTTTCACGTCTTCTGGACGTCTCAAAGCGCTTCACAGAATATACTGTAAAGTGAATTGACTGTATATTTGTGGGCGAACGCGGCAGCCAATTGCGCACAGCAGTGTCCCACAAACAGTCGTGGATTAAAAATGACCAATTTATTATTGTTTTTGTTTTGGAGGTATTATTATTAGGC